AGCCATTCATCTATTTATCCCTCAGGGACTTCTGTTACAGACACCTGACCATGGCGCTAGGATGGGGACTACTAAGGAAACAGTAAGGAAAACAGTTGTGCTAGTTTCAGAAAGACTGGCTGAACTTACCCAATGGGGCCACCTTCTGTTGAATAATTCAAGCCTTCATATTCATACTTCTCAGCAGTCCATAAACAAGAGAACTTGCCGTGGGAGATGGGAGTAATACAGCTTCAAGGCTACTATGCCTCGCAGAGAAGCAAGTGAAAAACAAAGCCGCCTCCTGACCTTGGCTTGCCCAAGAGTATACGTAGCAGACGTAAATTCCTCCCAAGAGTTTTTTAATTCAGAAATTAACACTGACCTTGAATTAGTCATATTTTCCACTGAATGGATACAGAAAAGCCTAGAGATTTTCTTTTCTTTTTTTTTTTTTTTTTTTTTTTTTTTGCAAACAAGCTGAGTTTCTATATTCTAGTTTTTCCATAACAACTATGTAGCATTTGTACAATAAGAGCATTTGTTTTGGTTCCCACTTTAATAAATCGTGGTTTTGCTTTAATGAACAAAACCAAATAATTTGTAATTGGCCCATTAATTATTTGATGTAAATGTCGATGTTAGAGTAACTTAATAAGCCATTGAAAAACATTCTTGTTTGCCAGTTGAGTTACACTCTGTTTAGTCAACAGCTCTTTTTTGGGAGGTGGGATGCTTGTGTTCCTTTGTTTTGAAGCAGGGAGGCCTTGGGAAAGTAAATCAGAATGCAATCTGAATCCAACAGAGCCCCAGAGGCCTAAACTAGGAAAGGAGGGCTCAATGAAAATTCAATTAATTGAAGTGTTAATTAATGAACCCAGCCTATGCCACTTCCATGAGAAAGCCCCTGGCATAGTGGCCTTTCTCAGCACAGCGCCCAGAGAGTGAATTCTTAATAGCTAGAAGAGTGTTTGCTAAACTTTGGCGCACATAAGAAATGCTATGGTGCTTCAAAAAAAAAAAAAATAATGCCCAGGTCCAACACCTTATCAATTAAATCAGAAATTCCAGGTCAGGGTGTATGCCAGACATCAGTAGTTTTTAAAGATCCCCAGATAATTCCAATGTGTAGCAAAATTTGGATAATGGTGGCCTTGAAAATTATCCTTTTGCCCATCTGACTCTCGCATGTACAAAAGGAAAATAACCAAGCAAAATAACTAAAGCAAATAAACTGGAAAAATAATAACCTACCATTGTAAGAAGTGTCATTCCTTTGTATATTTAAAATGCAGTGGACTTAACAGCAAGTGAATCATTTCACTAACTGGAGATCCTTTCCAAAAGGATCCTTTCCAGAAGAGCTTGTTTGGAAAAGCGAGAGGACTGAATATGGATTCTGAAATGAAGCTCAAAGGCAGAGTAGTGGTCATGAATGGGAAACGAAGATGAGGCGGGCAAGGGCAAATTTGGATATTGAACAACTGGCCAGCATTTGGCACCCAAGAGCATAACTGCTATAGTTTGGATGTTTGTCTCCTCGAAATTGATGTTGAAATTTGATTGCAAACATTGGAGGCGAGGCCTAACAGGAAGCATTTGGGTCACAGGGGAAGCTTCCTCATGAATGTCTTGGTGCCATCCTTGAGATAATAAGTGCCAGCTCTATTAAATCCCATGACAGCTGTTTGTTAAGAAAAAGCTGGCACCTCCCCTGTCTCTTGCTCCCTCCCTCGCCATGGGACCCCTGCATACTCCAGCTCCCGTTTGCCTTCTGTCCTGAGTAGAAGCAGCCTGAGACCTTCTTCTGTAGCCAAGCAGGTGCCAGCGCCCTGCCTCTTGTACAGCCTGCAGAATCATGGGCTGAATAAACCTCTTCATAAATTTCCCAGCTTTGGGTATTTCTCTGTAGCAACGCAAACAGACTAAGACAATGTCTGAAAGAAATATTTCTGAGAGAAAATCCAGACTATATTTTAATGGAAAATCTCAGACAAAATGCATCTTCTAGAAAATGTGTTTTCTGGGGAATGGGGAAGCAGAGCAATCTGTTACACCATGTACAGACGTTTTTGTTCTTCTTCCAATTGTGATCCCCTAGGACTACCTCTCATTTATCTAACTCTATGTAAATCATCTCTTAAGGCCATTTTAAAGCCGTAGTGTGTGAACATTCAGGAAGAGGCAAGTGCATGGCTCGGCCTGCAGTTCCAGGTGTTCCCCCTTTCTAAGAACTGCCAGCCTCACTCTGTATTTTGTGATGGGAACCGATATTTAAAGCTTTTCAAAGTGAATGCAAAGATTAAATAAAGTAGGGACACTTTTCACAGTGCCTGGAACTCTGCAGGACTCAGTACATAGTGGTGGTGGTTATTCCCTCGGCCTGTCTGGGATTTCTTATTCAATTTTCCCAAGGTTTTCTTGGTAAGCAGAGTAGAGAGAGAGAAAGTATGTATATTTGTGGAGAGATTTGGATCTGGCAGTAGTAGGCTGGACCCAGCTCTTACCATCACATATTAACCTACGAGAGAGCAATTAGATTTTTAGAAATTTTGTCAGTCAGTTTATAAAAATAACCATTATTAAAATTAAATACTATCAAATTACAGTTCAATACATTAAATTAAAAGCAAAAGCAATAAATAATTAAAACTCATCATTTCCTAATTATTTCACTATATTTTACTATTTTCTCTTCCCCTGAGTTTATTTGTAACTGTTGGATTTGTATGGTAGAAATACTGTATAATTGTATAATAGCTACATTGCCTCATGTATTCCCATGGGCACCTTAAAATCAATTATAGTGTTTATAGTATGGAAATCAAGAAATGCTACAAATCAAGGTGTTTTTATTTTTGTGTTTTCTCTCAGAGAACTAGTTATAAACACACTACCACACTTCTGGGCCAGTGTATGGAGAGACAGAGAGAAGATATGAGTACAATTGAAACACCTTAACTAGTATCAGGAAAGACATCAGTGGGTTACAACTTGGAAGATTTTTCCAAAAGTTACTCACAAAACCACATGGGGAGAAAAAAACTTCTCTCTATATCTTGTTCAAAATCAGCAAGATGCTGAGAAAGGAAATCTAGTAACTATCCAGAGTCCATGCTCTACTTTCTAATGGCAAAATCAATTCTGTTTTCACAAGTGACAATGATCCCAGAAGATTTTGAAATCGCCTGTGAAAATCTGAGGAGACAAACTTTCCCAATCCTAAAAATTGACCTTGTGGAAAAGACACGTATCTGTAGTGCTTGTGTTTTTTAAATGTATTCAAATGGTCCTGTAAACCAAAAGGTATAGAAAGCTGTGAAATGAACATATCTGCCCTCTTTCTGATACCCATACCACCAGTACCACTGCTGCTCTTCTTATATATCCTTCCACTTTCTTTTTGCATATCCAAGTAAATATGAATATGGATTTTTACCACCATCATCCTCCCCCTTTTTACATAAAGTGTAGTGTAATACGATTAATCTCCTATTCTTTGCTTTTTCCCTACTTAGTAATAGATTTAAGTGCTCTCCATATAAGTGCATAGAGAGCTTTTTCATTTTTTAAGAATTGGGTAACTGCCCAGAATCCAAAATCCTCAAGGTAGAAAGCAACCTCTAAACTCATTTCTGGCCATTTTCTCTCCTCCTGCTCCTCTTCCCCTCCCCCATCTCCCTCTTCTTCCTTTTCCACTTCTGTCCCTCCCTCCCTCCCTCCCTTCTTTCTTCTTCATCTTTCTTTTCTTCCGTCTCTCTCTCTCACTGTGTATACTTTCTACTTCTGCCACATTGAGGCCTCCTCACCTCACTTGAGCAAACTGGGCTTCCTGCTTTCTCCAGACCTTTCTTTACTCTGTGTGCTTTTCCTGAAATGTTCCGGGTCACCCAGCAAACTCAGATACACTGGTGTTTGGTCAACAGCTGTGGTGCCGTGGCAAGACTACCAGGTATCTAGCTGGATTATGTGGACTTAAATCCCAGCTCCCTTGCTTACAAGCTCCTTCAGCCTCAACTGACTTAATCTTTAATTTCCCTAAGTCCAAGTCTTCTGCTTCATAAAATGTGGAAGCAGTATTTCACAGTGGATATTAGTGTGGGTTTTAGAGTTAGATACATCACGGTTAGAATCCCCATGCATCTTCCTGTGGGTTAGTTAACTAGGTGAATTACTTAGTGATTCTTAGCTTTGTTATCACATTTATAAAATGGGAAAAAATCTTCATCAATTTTTCACATTTCTGCATGTCTTATGAATGAAGAAATTCAGCTTCTGTTTCAAAACCCTGTATTTCCAAGATTATTTATATAGCATACACTGCGGAAAATAGAGATAAGTTTCTCCTTATGGAGCAGAGGAAAAAATTGGTTTCTGCCCACATTAATAATAAAGGATAATAAAAATTATGCCCACATTAAAGATTGCAAAGTTTTGCATGCAGGCCCCTAATAAAATAATGTGGTTTCCTAAACTCAAGAGTTTTTCCACTTACAAAACAACTTACAGCTTGTATAGCATGCGTCTGGATCTTCTTCACACTCTGTGGGAATTGAGATTTGGGAAACCAAGCAACTGTTTATTGCTATTCAATGAACAATTGAATGGTAACCTGTCCTTTGTCTCTGATCGAAGAGTCTTATGTCTTCTTCCAACATTCATGAGACTGTGCAAGCTGACTTGTTAGTTTGAAAGTAGGGTAAAATCTCAGATCCTTCACAATTCTTGTCATTTACTTCATATATTTGTTGTAATAATTAAATGTAATATATTATTATATATATTTAATTACATAAAGTACATACAACAGTGTCTATGTCTAGTCCATAATAGTTGCACAATGAGTGGGAACTATAAATATCAATTTTTCTTATTTATTCCCTGGGTCAGAGGGGATTGACCAGATAATCAATAAAAGTATAAATGTGAGTGATGGTATCATAGTGCCTGGTATGTGGTAGGCTTATGTGTTAGCCCATTTTCATACTGCTATAAAGAACTGCCTGAGACTGGGTAATTTATTAAGGAAAGAGGTTTAACTGTTCAGCATGTCTGGGGAGGCCTTGGGTTATCATCATGGCAGAAGGCAAAGAAGAAGCAGGACAACGTCTTCATGAGGTGGCAAGAAGAAGTGCTGAGAGAAAAGGGGAAGAGTCCCTTATAAAACCATCAGATCTCATGAGAACTCACCCACTATCATGAGAACAGCATGGGAGAAACCACTCCCATGGTTCAATTACCTCTACCTGGTCTCTTCCTGAAGACCTTTTTCCAAAATGAGGGGGATACAGGCCCCATGTAAGTCTGAAATCCAGCCAGACAGTCAAATTTTAAAGCTCCAGAATGATAGCCTTTGACTCTATATCTCACATTTGGGTCATGCTGATGCAAGAAGTGGGTTTCCATGGTCTTGGGCAGCTCCACCCCTGTGGCTTTATAGGGTACAGCACCCCCCTCCAACCCCCACACTGCTGCTTTCATGGACTGGTGTTGCGTGTCTGTGGCTTTTCCAGGTACACAATTCAAACTGTCAGTTGATCTACCATTATGGGATCTGGAAGACAGTGACTCTCTTCTCACAGCTCCACTAGGCTTTGCCCCCATGGGGACTCTGTGTGGTGACTCTGATCCCACACCCACATTTCTCTTCTGCACTGCCCTAGCAGAGGCTATTCATGAGGATTTCATTCCTACAGCAAACTTCTACCTGGACTTCCAGGCATTTCCATACATCCTCTGAAATCTAGGTGGAGGATCCCAAACTCAGTTCTTGACTTCAATGCACCCACAGGCCCAACACCATGTGGAAGCTGCCAAAGCTTGGAGCTTGTATCCTCTGAAACAACAGTGTGAGTTGTACATTGGACCCTTTTAGTCACAGCTGGGCTGCGGGGCACCAAGTGCTGAGACTGCACAAAGCAGAAAAGCCTTGGGCCTGGCCCAGCAAACCATTTTTCCTCTTAGGCCTGTGGGCCTATGATGGGAGAGGCTGCTATGAAGACCCCTGACATGCCCTGGAGACATTTCCACATTCTCTTGGTGATTTACATTTGGCTTCTAGTAACTTATGCAAATTTCTACAGATGGCTTGAATTTCTCCTGAGAAAATGGGTTTTTATTTTCTATCTTGTCATCAGGCTGCAAATTTTTCAAACTTTTATGCACTGCTTCCCTTTTAAACATAAGTTCCAATTCCAAACCATCTCTGTGAATGCACAGAACTGAAGACTTTTAAGAACACCCAAGTCACTGCTTGAATGCTTTGCTGCTTAGAAATTTCTTCTGCCAGATACCCTAAGTCATTTCTCTTAAGAGCAAAATTCCACAGATCTCTAGGGCAGGGGCAAAATGCTTCCAGCCTCTTTGCTAAAGCATAACAAGAGTCACCTTTTCATCAACTCCCGATGAGTTCTTCATCTCCCTCTGAGACCATTTCAGCCTGGATTTCATTGTCCATATCACTGCCAGCATCTTTGTCAAAGCTATCTGACAAGTCTCTAGGAAGTTCAAAACTTTCTCTCTTCTTCTGAGCCCTTCAAACTGTTCTAACCCCTGCTTGTTATCCACTGTCAAAGTCATTTACACAATTTCAAGAGTCTTTATGGCAGCACTTCACTCCCAGTAACAATTTACTGTATTAGTTCATTTTCATACTGCTATAAAGAACTTGCCGAGACTGGGTAATACATAAAGGAAAGATGTTTAATTGACTCACAGTTCAGCATGGTTGGGAGGCCTCCAGAGACTTACAATCGTGGTAGAAGGTGAAGAGGAAGCACAAGTAGCCTTCTTAACAAGATGTCAGGAAGGAGAAATGCTGAGAGAAGGGGAGAAAAGCCCTTTATAAAACCATCAGCTCTCATGAGAACTTATTCAGTCTCATGAGAACAGCACTGGGGAAACCACCCCCTGCTTCAATTATCTCCATTTGGTTTCTCCCTTGACACCTGGGGATTATGGGAATTATTGGGATTACAATTCAATATGAGATTTGAATGGGGACACAAAGCCCAACCCATATCAGCTCTTATGTAGAAAAGCTTTCCTTTCATGTATTGTATCTTCTTGAGGAAGCTATGATAGCAGGAAGGAACCATGGACACATCATAAGTGTAGATTAAATTCTTAGTGTGTTTTCAAGAACTCAACTAATGGAGAGCAGCCCCACAGAGAAGGGGTCAGGGTCTTATGTCTCAGTGCAGCATTCCAGTGCCCCAACCTCTGTGCAGAGCTTTGCTGCAAAGCTATGATGAAGCCCTGCAAAGCGGAATGCTGCTAGATCCAGAAACTTAATTTGGTCCTGCATTTTAATTCCACAGAAATAACTATCTTGGAGAAGAGTATATACAGTCTTTTAACCTAAAGCTTTTATTTAGGAATATGCTTGTAGATGCTGGCACTCCTGGTTCTTGAACCTAAACCCTATTAAAAGTAGCCACATCACACTGGGGAGGAAGCACTTTGTGATCAGGTGTACCCATTTATTTTGCTGCACTGGCTTCCGTCTTCCCAGCATCCATTTAACAAATACATGTGTGCTTCAAGCTGGACTCTTGCTAGGCATTCACTATGATAGTAGATGAAATAGATTCAATCACTCTCTTAAGAAACTTACAGTTGAGCAAATGTGACAATATTGAATGAGTGATATACAAGTAAAATACAAATATAATTGTAATCAGTGCTATGAAGGAAAACAACAGTGTGAAATTAGCTAGGGTAAGTAAACCACTCCCAAATATCATATCAGCCGCTTAGCCTAATAAAACTTGATTTATCTGTTATACGCATGTCACAGTCTAGTGTGGACAGACACTGTGGATTAGGGTTGGTGTGGGGGTGGTAAGACCTGGGCTCCATTCAGTCTTTCATGGACCCAGACTCTGTCTGTTGTTGCTGCTGCCATTTTGAGGGCTTCCTCCCTTCTCTCTAATTAGCAAGTTGAAAGCCATAAGGCAGGGCATTGACAGAGAAAGCCTCATGGATGGTCTGCCAGTGGTCCATGTCACTACTGCTTACAGCGTAAATCCAGATGGGCTTAGAAATGCAGTTCAGCCGAATGTCTGAAAGAGTCTCAAGTTGCCTCCTGCCCCAAGGGAAGAGTGGTAGTGAATAGGGAGAGTGATCTCTTAGGGTGGTCAGACAAGGCATCTCCCAGGAAGTGACTTAGATTAAGAGCATATATACTGAAGTCAGACAGATGTCCAGGGTCTCCTCCTGACTCTTCCCCTTGCCAGCTGGGCTCTTCTGGTTAAGTTACCTGGTCTTTCCATGCCTTATTCTTCTCAGCTGCAAAATGTGGAAAACAATAGAGCACTTGTGAGAAATTAAATAACTGGTGCAATCCATAAGCAACATTTAGCACAAGTCTGATTGGTTCATTCTAAGTGTACCATTATTGTTAAGTTATTATTGTGTTTGTCATTAGTAGTAATAAGATGGGATCTGAAGGAATTAGAATTTTGAAATTTTAAAAAAAACTGTTGTCTAAGTGCTGTTACTATTCCCCCCAAGCCATCTCAATGTAAACTTTCACCTGATCCTTTGTTAACTGGCTCTATAGAATCTCTTCCCCTACCTTTCTGTTTCAGGGCCCCCAGGACAGCCTCCAAACAAGGACTCTGATGGGGTAGATATATGATTTTCATTTTAACTCACATTTTACAATAGCTGTTGTTGCTTTTCTCTCTTGTCAAATGATGTGTTCAACTACAAGCTATTCTCCAAGATTCTTTTTAGTCCTAACAATCTGTGTACCCTTCAATGGCAAATTAAAACATTGTTACAACTGCCTGAATTTTAGGATTTGAGTTTGGCAGTAGGAATCTTGAATTGGCAAATATTTTTACCCACTGACACTTATATTTAAGGCAGATGCTTACAGTTAAGTAGTAACTCAAAAAACATTACTCATAACAGTGGAACACTCAACAGCACCTCAAGTCATTACTCTGCTAACTTTTTGTGTGTGTGCGGTAGTCCCAGCTCACACGCCTGCCATCTGTGCAGCTTTCTCACTGTGCAGTGAGAAGACACTATATCTACTTACTTAAAAGACACCCTATAGGAAGGGCCAAAAGCATTGCTAATCTTAGTAAAACTTATTTTTTAACTTAAATCTTTAAAGGGGAACTGGCATTTTAGGTGATTAGCATATATTACTCTCTGAATTAACCTGTCTTACTTCATTTGAGGTGCTGTAACAAAACATTATAAACTGAGCGGCTTATAAACAACAGAAGTTTATTTCTCACAGAAGTCCAAGATCAAAGTGCTGGCAGATTTGGAGTCTATTGAAAACTGGCTTCCTGGTTCATACACAATGCCTTATTCTTGGATGCTCATGCAGTGGAAAGGACAAGGCACTTCTCCGGGCCCTCTCTTTAAATAAGGGCAGTAATTTCACTCATGAAGGCTTTGTCCTCATGATTTAATCACCCCCCAAAGGTTTTACTTCCTGATAACATCACATTGGTGATTGGGTTTCAACGTGTGAAAATTTTAGGGGATTTAAACATTCAGACCACAGCAACTTCCGTGCTTTCATTATTTTCACCTCTGTAAAGTTGGGCTTATGAGATATAATATTTAGTGCAAAGATTCATTGTGAGACTGCATGTTTGAAGTGCCCCCAAAATTGCATGGCACATAGAAAACTACCTGCTATTAGGGGTAATTACTACCCTGTGTTGTAGATAGCACTGATACTTATTGGTTGGTTGTCTGTTTGAAGACAGGCATTGTACTAGCTGATGAGGAGTCAACTGGTGGACCAAAGCATTGTACCTACCCTTATTGAACGTGGCACTTGGCAAGGAGAATAGATGATAATCTAATGTTCTCTTATGTATAGCATGAAACTGTATCTTCGGCAATGATAGTAGGAGACTCCATTTTAAGGCAGTTGTACCTAAATGAGAGATTAGAAATCATATCCTGGAAGAAGTGACTGAGGCATTGAGGGATGAAGGATGGAGCAGGAGCTAACTTGGGCAAAGGAAAGAAAAGCTATCCATGAGAGAGAATCAAAATCAAAATAGCACCCACCTCCACACACACACACACCCTGAGCCCTCACACTTTTAAACAATGGAATAGAGAGTAGGAATGCTGTCTACTTCCCCTTGACAGTCAGGTTTTCTCCTGCCTCCTGTAAGCCCCAGTGCCTCCATTCTGTGTGGCGGGACCTGAGCCTATGAGTTGACCTCAGAGCCCCTTAAGATGCTCTCTAGATGGCCCTGTCCTTCTCCATCTCTGAGCTCTCACTAGAGGGCAAGCAGACCTGGAAGTGTAGCTGTACCAGGCTGGTGGGGCAGGGAAGTCCCAGGTAAACTCCTACCATACCTGCCAGGTGGAGGTAGCCACACTCCCAGCTGAACACACAGCTGGGAGGCACTGCTGTGCCCTCGGGGTCTCTCTGAAGCACTCCAGATGCTGCAGGCCCACAGACTGCCCATACTTGGTGGCAGGTTGACAGGTGTGTCAGCGGGGCTCTAATAGCACCTGCCCTTCCAGACCAGAGACATTCCAGCCAGATACGGAGCTGAGAGACACAGTTGCCTCTGAAGATTCAGGAACTGTCCGTCTTGAGCTGGGTTGTACAGCTGGAGTGCAGAGCCCCTCCCTGCTCTCCCAGTGTGGGCACTGAGGTTGTCTACAGGAGCGGGCTCCCAAGCTGGCCTCCGACCATGGGTGGTGGCCCATTTCTCCAGCCTCTTCTTGTATGTGTTTCATAAATGGGTCCACCAAGGTCTCTAACATTTAAAAAAAAAAAAATGGTTGTAGAGCTCAGCTATGGTGAACCTTTGAAGGATGTCTAGAATTGCAGCATGTAGGATGAGGCATGTCTTAGAGGCCATGCCAAGAATTAGGGTTTTTAACTTATGAGTGATGAAAACCCATTTGATGGATTTTAAACAGAAAAGAGTAGAGTTACTGTGACTAGATTAGATTTGCCTTCTGAAAAGACCTCTGTCTGGAGGATGAAATCTAGTAGATGTGTGTGGACCAGAATGGAGGGTCTTCTAAGACTCTGGGCCTGCATGAGGAATCCACTGGGCTCAATCTCTAGAAGGTAATGGTGCAAAATGAGGAATGTAGGTGGCTATTCTAGGTACTTAGAGGATAAAGTAGATAAGACTTGGTCTTGTGTTGGACATAGAAGATGCAAAGGAGAAATGCTGAAAGGCACTCCCTAAAATTCTGATTTGCTAAATGGCACATGGAGATATTGATAGGTCTGGGAGGAAACATCATGATGTAGTTTTTCAGTTTGAATATAATTTGAAATTAATATTAATTTCAAATTAGAATACCAGTATTGGTCAACTCAAAAACATGTATTGAGCAAGGAAGAAAAGGGAAATAAATTTGCCATGTATTTATCATCCTCCATGTTTTGAGTGCTTTTAGCTTTTCAGGGTTTATCCTCTGGTCAACTTCTAATTCAGACAGTGTCCTCATGGATCAATTACATCAAAAAATTTTAAAGATTATAAAGATATAGTGACCGGCCTAAGAACATACAATTAATAATAAGGAAGATATGTGTTCTGTTACAAGCTTGTATAAAATAAAAACCTACTGCAGTCTTTCCACCATGGAATATTTCCTCTGTAACTACTTTATGAGGGACATGTGGGAGTCCTGCCCTGCCTCAGGGAATTACAGTGATTTCTTAAGAAGACACTGGTGGCCGGGCGCGGTGGCTCAAGCCTGTAATCCCAGCACTTTGGGAGGCCGAGGCGGGTGGATCACGAGGTCGAGAGATCGAGACCATCCTGGTCAACATGGTGAAACCCTGTCTCTACTAAAAATAAAAAAAATTAGCTGGGCATCGTGGTGCGTGCCTGTAATCCCAGCTACTTAGGAGGCTGAGGCAGGAGAATTGCCTGAGCCCAGGAGGCGGAGGTTGCGGTGAGCCGAGATTGCGCCATTGCACTTCAGCCTGGGTAACAAGAGCGAAACTCCGTCTCAAAAAAAAAAAAAAAAAAAAAAGAAAAGAAAAAGAAAAGAAGACACTGGTTAGAATTCTACAGTGAATGTTCACACAAAATGCCCTGGGTCGATAGAGGAGATGGTTTGGGATTGCTCCACACCTTCTGGAGATGACAGACTCTGAATGAGCCAAAGAATGAGATCCATGCTGGACAGGGTTAAGGATACGTGAAGGGGCAGATGTCATCGGGGCCCCTATGGGGATAGATGGACACATCAAACAGAGATGGTGGGAAAGGAGACAGGAAGAAGAAAGAAGCTAAGTAAAGGCATGCTAGTCTTGCTAGAGCTCTTTCCTATCTTTAGAAACCTAACTTTCCTCATGAAAGCAGTAACTGAAAACCAAAATAAATATACTTGGCAATAGTAAAAAGCTTAAGCTCATTAACAATCTTCAAATTAGTATAACTAATATTATTGAAAATAATTCTGAATGGAGGCAAGAAAATGTAAATCTCCTCCTTGTTCTCTTAAGCCAGCCTTTTTCTCATGAGGCAGGATCACCCCAGAGAACATTAGAGTTGAGCAACGTGGGAGTGTCCCTCAGAAATAATCATGATCAGTATTAAATCACTGATGTTTTGAATGTCTTGGAGTTCTTTTATTTTCTTCTGTCTCTCCTCAAGAGAGAGTGAAAGGGGTGACATTAAAATGAACATAAGCAATGCAATTAGTGAAGATGTTGTCACAAACGCATTAAAATGTGCATAGAAAAGTGGTAACAGCGTTTGTTTTTGGAAAAGTTTGCAAAGATGGAAAGAAGGCTATCTTTCCATGGTATGTGACTATGTACCTCGTGAAATCATAGAGGATGTATGACTTGGATACATCTGTTAAAATCTACCGTTTTTGTGGCATAAAAAGCACCAACATGCCCTCAGATGCTTAATACTTGAGCCTGGGTTTGCTCATTCCAAGTTCAGGGGAATAATTCTTACCTTGTATAGTTATTAATGAGGATTAGAGATAGTGTATATTTAATACCTGACATAGAATGTGTGTTCAATAACTACTGAAAAGCAAATCCTTTTTTGATATACTATTGTGAAATAAAATGCTGTGGCTAAGTTTTAGTTCTGAAGAAGATTTTCAAGTAAAACACTGACATAATATTTAAAAAGGAAAAGAAAGGAAGAGCCTGTAGATTTGCTGTAGTACTTCTAGGTGCAGGACAATTCTGCAAGTGCAGCAAATTTATCCAGGTGGTAGGGAAGGAAGCAAAATAATAATGGTCCATTATAATGCTCAGAAAGTTTATTTGACCTAGGCCAATGCTAATTTGATTTTTGTCCCAGTATATTTAATAAGACAATTAGAGGTCCATGTATTTTAGTAAATTGTATTCCCTAAAAGTTATTGACATAGTCTTTGCATTAAACTCTTACCATTTTCAAGCTCTAGATTAAGAAACTAATTATAAGCCTTTAATAGTTAAATCCTAGCTGCCAAGTCTTATGAATATTGCAGTGCCATCCATAAGGCTGAATAATTATTTGAATTGTTGACATAGTAACTGTTTTGTTAAAAGAAATCTGTAAGGTTATATTCAATCTTTGAAGTAGTTCTCAAGAATTGTGTTCAAATACGGCCATTGAAATCTGGGAAGCTTGTTATTAAAAGCATGACCAGCAAAGTAGTTAATTTTCCTGTGAGAAGATGTCAATTAACCCTAATGGAATTATTTTGGTGTTGATTTTGTTTAATCAAACATCAGAAAATAATTGAGCTCTGAACACATGGCTTATTATAAAAATATGCAGGTTGGCAAGAAAGATTGGCGAGTGCATTTCAATAATGCACGTATATTAACAGTCACTTTTTTTCATAAAAATGAGCAATTACCAAGGGGCCTGGCACTGAGGGCATCAACAGGATATGTGGCCCAAGACAGCTGCTTGGTTTCCCATCCAAGATAAAGTCAGATGTTCCAGAAGCGTGAGCATGCTGAGGGTTAAAGAGAAGGGAGACTTTACTTCTTAGTTATCACCTTTCAGGTCTGGAGAAGCACAAATACCAAGGTGTATACCCTACATTCATTTACAAGCACATTATCTACTATTGCTGCCTCCAGGATGGCCACAGGCATCTTTAAAAGCATAATTTCCTCCACTATTCTCAGCTCTAGGTGCACATAAAAGCCACATAGGAAGGTTGGATAGATACCAGTGCCTGGGCTCCATCACTGACCAGTAAAATGAACCCTTCTGAGAGAATCTTGGCATGGATGTGTTTCCGAGTCTCCCAGTATGTTTCCAATACATATCCTGGGGAAAGGAGCATTGCTTTAAGCTATCAATCACTCTACAGTATTATTCCTCAACTCTGTGAAGGGGATTGAACACAAACAGTTCAACTGTCAAATCTGATTTGTACAAATCAGTGGCCTTACCTAGTACTCTGATCTGCTAGGGCTGCCGTAACAGAATACCACAGACTTGGTGACTTAAACAGCAAAAATGTATTTTCTCTCAGTTCTGAAGTTTAGATGTCCAACATCAAGGTGCCATCAGCATTGGTATCTGGCGAGAACTCTCCTCTGGGCTTGCAGATGGTCTCCTTCTCATGTCATCCCCACATGGCCTTTTCTATCTCTTCACCTACTGGATTAGGGCCCCACTTGTATGAACCTCATTTAACCTTAATTAGCTCCTTAAAGGCAACATGCTCGAATACAGTCATACTGGGGGCTAGGGATTTCACCTATGACTTTGCAGTCGGAGGACACAACTGAATCCATAATCCCCATTATCAGGCTTTATCCTTAATTCCAGAGTTTCAAATAATTGTGAGACACAGGCAAAGTAGGGAGACACACAGGAGTACCATACCATACCATACCTAAGTGTTTACCTCCTTTTTGGTCTAACCTAG